CCTAGTCCACCAAATTGGTCTGCAATGAGCTTCAATTGCCTGGGCTCCTCCCCAGCTCTGCCACGTGGTCATTTAACCTCCATGTGCCTCAGTTTCCTCATCTGTAAAGCAGTGCTATTTTCATGGCACCAAGACTGGGATTAATGGAGGTAACACCCATCAAATTCTTGGAAAACTCTCAGTGTTAACAATTATATTATGATTATTCCATAACTCACAAGTGTCTTAGAGAACATGGCTGCTCACGAGGTTGTTTGTTTGTTTGTTTGTTTTTTCCTATCAAACTGAAGCAAAAGAAAAAGCAGGGAGAACTTGGAGGAAAAGAGAGATGAATCATAAAACTCAAAAAGCAGTTCTTGTTATCAATACTCTAAGGCAAAACTGTCCTTTTTTTCCCATGATCCAAAATCAGTTTCAGCATCAAGGGCATGCAGGTGATGGATGATCATGGTGTCCTGCTACGGCGAGTCTGCATTCGTCACCCTTGCTGCCTGCTCCCCAGACTGTCCTGATCCTGTAGGAGAGGTTGTCTGTGCCATTCCAGGAAGACGCTGCTGGTGAGGCAGCAGCACGGGGCTGGTGAGTCACAGGGGAATGAGTGGCAGACAACATCAATTATCCTCACAGTCCCCACTGCTTCCTGTAAGCGCTGTGGAGGCGGGCACACAGACACACACAGGCACACCAAGGCCAGCTGTCTCCGGTTCTACGTCAAATGCTTGCAGAGGCCCCTGTATGATTAATGGCACTGTATTCTTTTTATTTTACTCATATTTGTATATTCCTGGCAAAGGATAGCACAAAACAATTCCACAAATGACGTAAAGGCATATGGCATAGTTGTTTAGAATCAGAGAGAAAAGGAAGTAGGTGGGAAAATACAGAAGCAACCTAACCTGACACAGGATCCACAGAGCTCCCAGGATGGGTCTGTCTAGGTCACATGGCACACCATCCTACCCTCGTTTCCTGAATTTTAGCTTGGGTAAAAGGCTGAAATGATTGAGAGCAATGATTAATGAAAATGATACTATTGCAAACACTCTAGATCTTAAAATATTATACTAAACTGGGGGCCCAGTACACAAATTCATGCACCTTGAAAGGAACTCTAGGCTGTGAGGCTGCAGTGGGCACAGGGACAGGTCTCAGGGCTGCCAGCTGCCGCTCGCACCTGCTGGTCCCTCCTGCCTTGGTCCCCAGTCCCGCCTGCCAGAAGCCCCGCTCCCACCACTGCTGCTCCCACTTGCTGTCAGTGCCAGCCCCTCACACCCACTGATGGTGCAGAGCAATTGTGCCATCAGCGGGCACCAGCAGCAGCTGCTGCCCTGATCACCCCTCAGGAGCAGGAGGAGGTGGAGAAGCCCTTAGGGACAACTGGGACAACAGCTGCCACTCGTACCCACTGATGGTGCTGAGAGATCAGGACCAGTGCCAAGTGCCGACAGTGGGTGCAAGTAGCAGTTGGCCCCAATTGCTCCTCAGGAGCAGGGTGGGTATATATAATTCAGCCCATCATATGCTAAATATTCTGTATGATTTGCATTTTTAGTTTATATTTCTGAATTGCTAGAAAATTTAAAATAAATTCATGTATTACATTAAATTAGCAATTCATAAAAAAACTAATATATTTTTCCTTTTGTCTAAAAATACTTTCAAATAATGTTTTTGTTGGTTTTTTTTTTTAAGTGCATCACTATAGGGAAAGCCACAGCAAGGGTGGGCAGCGGAGGGATCACGAGGCTTACCTCTCAGCACCAGACAGCACACTGCAGGGGCTTAGAACTGGGTATTTGCCAGGACCGGTTTGGCTCAGTGGATAGAGTGTCGGCCTGCGGACTCAAAGGTCCCGGGTTTGATTCCGGTCGGGGGCATGTACCTTGATTGCGGGGGCACATCCCCAATAGGGGGTGTGCAAGAGGCAGCTGATCGATGATTCTCTCTCATTGATGTTTCTAACTCTCTATCCCTCTCTCTTCCTCTCTGTGAAAAACCAATAAAAATATATTTAAAAAACAAAAACAAAAAACTGGGTATTTGACACATGAGCACCTTGGCACCCCACCCCGCCTTGCCAGGCCAGCCTCAACACCCTGCCCAGCCAGGCCTCTGGTTCAAGTCAATTCTCTAATCTCATCCAGGCCTTTGTCAACATCCTCCTGCTGGCAGGCACGGTATTTCTGTGGGATGACAATGCCCAGGATACAGCCATGAGGGTTGACAAAGCACAATGGCGAGGAAAGGCTTTGGCCCCACAGGTGTTTATGAATAGAATTAGAAAGTTGGGCATCAATATATTTGGGCAACATAGTGGCAGGTTTTTCACTATTTTGGTGGATATGGAACTTGCAGTATCACAGAAAGTTACCACTTGTTCCAATCAATGGCACACACACTTTCTGAGCAGCACTTCAAAACATACGAAGAAGTGGAAAATTGGGTCTCTGAATGGTTTGCCTCAAAACAACAAAAGTTTTATTAGGACGCTGTGCATAAATTACCTGAAAGATGAGGAAATGTATAGCTAGCGATGGATATTACTTTGAATAAAGCACTTCTGATGTTTCTCTTGAAATAATTGTTTTCTTTGATTACAAAATCTGTCATCATTAACCGGTACACCTAGTAAATCAACCAACTTTTTTCTTTTGGAAAGTGTAGTATTAAAAGATAGCATTTTACAAGTCACTTAAGATGGTTTGGGTTAAAGCCCCCGCCAGCATGCTCAGTGGTTGGGCATTGACCTAGGAATCAGATCACAGTTCGAATCCCGGTGAGGACACATGTGCGGGCTCAATCCCCAGTTTGGGACATGCAGGAGGCTGCCAATCAATGTTTCACTCTCCCCGCTTTCCTCTCTCTTCCTCTCCAAAATCAACAAAAATTTACTTAAAAACAAATATTTTTAAAAAGATGGTTTGGGTTAGAGAGTAATTTTCTGAAAAGAGATTCTACATACTTAATTTCACATTCTGCTATAACATCTGACATTCTAGGACTGAAAGAAATTATTTAAAATTTATTAAAATGGAACCAGCCTTTAGTTTTTTCTGAAATGTTTATTCCAAATCAATAAGCTACATATTCACCTGACACTATTTCAAGTCACAATTATCAACATCTCTCCTTTGAAAAACTGAGCCTTCTTTTTCTAAGTACAACTTTTTAAAACCACTGCAAAGCAAATAATTATTCTGAAGCTAAAGTATCAGAAACAAATTCCATCCACTGTTTTAATTTTTGGATCACAACATCTGATAGAGGTTCCATTTAATGTCTTACATGGTTTTATTTCTTGGCAGCTTTTCCTAACTATGATAAACTATAATGAAGACAGAAGCATTCAAAACTTAATTATAGAAGACCACTAGTAAAAGTTCAAAACCAAATATCTTCAAATGTAATGTTTGATATGACCAAAAACTGTGAGTCCATCCTCAACATGCCCATTGCCCAACAGACCCCTGTTCATGTTTTTTTTTATTTTGTTTTGTTTTTGTCTTTTGATGCTTACAGTGAGAAACCAAGAAAATAATATGACATATAAAAAACATAGTTACCTATATTTTCTTAAAGTCTTGAGTTGAACACATCTTCATCAGTGCAATATTACTTTTAATAATGCTCAAATAACAATAGACAAGTGATACATATGAAAAGACTGTATTACACAAGCAATATTTTTAGCATCACAAATAAGTTGCACACAAGCATAAAAACCTACAAGTCTTAACTCACCTCATTAAGTTCTCATGTAATTTGTTGAGAATACTATTATCTTATGCATTCTAAGTTTTTTCATTTTTCAAATACAGACAACTTTTGATAGAAAGGATTAGTGCTTTTTCAATAAGTTATCAACACACACACACACACACACACACACACACACACACACACCAGTGCAAGCCATCAAAACAAAGGATCCTAATTTGGAAGTGAAACAGAATTGCTTCCTCATTTCAACAGCTAACTATAAGACTAAAAACTTTGAGGGTGAGCTACCCAAGACAAGTTACCCAGCTGCACTTGCTGTGTTTTCTTCTTTACTATTAAATCAGAACCCTCTATTGCTATTTTGTTCCATGCAGCACCAACCAAACTTCATTTTTATCTAATAAAAAATAAATGAATAGCCCAGCCAGTGTGGCTCAGCAGTTTAGCATCAACCCATGAACCAGGAGATAAGGGTTCGATTCCAGGTCAGGGCACATACCTGGGTTGCAAGCTCAAACCCCAGTAGGGGGCGAGCAGAAGGCAGCTGACAATGACTCTCATCGTTAACCTCTCTTTCCCTCCCTCTCCTTTACTCTCTCTGAAATCAATATATATATATATATATATATATATATATATATATATATATATATATATATATATTAATGTATAAAAGAAGACACTGTCAGGCATATATTCACGAAGTCTTATTTTCTTAAAACGTAAGTGTGGGTATATTTATTTCTTTCAAATGCATACAAGACAATAATTACACAGCAACAAAGCTTTTGTTCAACAATGATTTGATTCATAAGCATTTGAAATTTACATAATTTCACATTCATAACCTTACATTTTTTAAATACTGTAAGTAAAAAAGACCCTCAAAATAACCAATTCTTATATTTCCTATTTATCCCTCTATACATCCAAACTTTATAAAGTTACAAACGGAACATTATACAGAACATATAAATCATGTTTAAAAACTTGAGGTTTTAAAATCACTGTTCCCGTATGATTCAGGAGACTCCTCATGCCGACAAGTGCAGTCCTGGGGGTAAAGGAAACTGCAGGAGGGGAAGAAAGAAGAGACAGACACAGGTTTGCTGTCTTAATATTTTACTCGTCCTGCCAGTTAAAAATGGTGATGTCATGAGAAGTAACAGTTTACGTTTAGTATGAGGAATGGAGTTTGCCTCACAGTTTGAGACGTGCATTTCAAGTATTTTCCTATTTGATCTGAGCTCCTTGCAGCAACCTAATGCCCAAGAGAATTATTATTTCCTTCCATACATTCGCTCAATGTCCGCCTGGTAATGTGTTTTAAGCTCTTTGCGTTTCAGCTTGAAGGCATCTGTCACCAGACCAGTTTCTGGCGTCCACGGTTCAGGGCTCAAACGAATTTTCACTGGAATTTCAAACTTTTCCAGACTTGCTGAGATGGTGTGGGAAAAAATACAAATGCAAAGTCATGAAAAATGTACCACTGAAATTCCTATCGAAGAGTCCTGAGCGCCCATCAAAATGCATGAACCATCACCCACGAATCTCACTTCCAATCAAGTTATCCCTCAGAAATACTAGTCTGGCCGAAACCGGTTTGGCTCAATGGATAGAGCGTCGGCTTGGGGACTGAAGGGTCCCGGGTTCGATTCTGGTCAAGGGCATGTACCTTGGTTGCGGGCATATCCCCAGTAGGGGTTGTGCAAGAGGCAGCTGATCGATGACTCTCTCTCATCAATGTTTCTAACTCTCTATCTCTCTCCCTTCCTATCTGTACACAATCAATAAAATATATTAAAAAAAAAAAAAAAAAAAAGAAAGAAAGAAAAGAAAGAAATGCTAGTCTGACTTCCAGAGTCCCAACCCTGCCCACCAGACCCAATAACCATGTATACCAACTCCTTACAGTAAGTTCCTTAATCTATATAACCCACTGGGTCTGTGCTGTAAACTTGACCCCTGTGATTTGGATTAGGAATGAAGTTGGATGCCTTTTTCACATCACATATAAAAATTAACTCCAAGTGGAGTAAGGCCTGAACATAGGAGTGAAAACTATAAAACACTGGGGGTAGCTTTGTGATCTAGATTAGGCGATAGTTTATCAGATGTGATACCAAATGTATAAACAACAGAAGAAAAATTTAAATAAACTGTATCTTATCAAAATTTAGAACTGTTGTGCTTTAAAGGATGCCATCAAAAAATTAAAAAACAGCCGAAACCGGTTTGGCTCAGTGGTAGAGCATTGGTCTGCGGACTGAAAGGTCCCAGGTTCGATTCCGGTCAGGGGCATGTACATTGGTTGCGGGCACATTGGCAGCTGGTCAATGTTTCTCTCTCATCGACGTTTCTAGCTCTCTATCCCTCTCTCCTCCTCTCTGTAAAAAAAATCAATAAAATACATTTTTTTTAATTAAAAAACTATCAATAGAAGAGGAGAAAATATTTACAACTCACATACCTAATAATGGACTTATAATTAGAATAAATAACTGATAAGACTCAATAATAAAAAGATAAATAACGTCATTAAAAAATGGGCAAAGGAGCTAAATAGACATTTTCCCAGAGAAGCTATACAATGGCCAACAAGTACATGAAAAGATGTTCCACATCATGAGCCATAAATCAAAATCACAATGAAATACCACTCCACACCCCTAGGATAGCTATCAAAAGGATGGACAATAACAAGTGTTGGCAAGGATGCACTAGAAGCCTCATACAACATTAATGGGAATGTAAAATGGTGCTACCATTTTAGAAAATAATTTGGGAAAAAATATTCTATAAAATAGTCTGATAGATTCTCAAAAGGTCCAACAAAGTTAACACAGGCTCAGCAACTCCTAGGTATTTACTCAAGAGAAATAAATGCATCCACACAAAAACTTGTATAAAATGTTCATAGCAGCATTATTCAGAACAGCCCAAAGTGTTCTTTCTGTAACTCCCAGTATAGAAAGTGTAGAGAAGAATATCAGACAATTCCCTGGGGGCTGTAGTGGCCAGGACACTGAGCAGGGCCTTGGAAACAGTGAGAAAAACCGAGAAAATGAAGTTGCACGATGAGAACATTCTGAGGCATGTGCATCATGGGATGGATGACCTGTGTGTTGCAGGGTCTGAAAGGGGAACTGAGAAGTCTGTTCTAATAATGGTAGGAAACTATAATTGGTTTCCTAGGCCTTGTAGGATAGGATAAATAATGTAAGTGCTCTCATCCCACCTTAGTTCACAGAATCAAAGTAAGAATCACTCACCTGAAATAGCAGCTTCAGACAGCACTCTGAGTACCTCATTTTCCATATCACAGCTGTTGCACAGCTCCTCCCACGTCCCTTTAAGTCCTTTCTTTCGAGCAAGTTCTGTTAGTTCCTTTTGATTTGGCACAACAAATCCAATGACGTAAGAATGGTAACTGAAATAGACAAATGATAACTTAGCAAGGTCATTGAATGGCACACCATTTAACTGATTATGATTACACTGACATTTTAGTAACTAATCCTTCTCTGCTTTACAGAAAATGCATGAGGCATACCAGGCACTGGCATACTGAGTTCTGCAACAGCCACCTTTTCTGTCTGACTTGGCACATCCCAATGCTTTGGCAGAGTTCATTGCTAAATAAACCTTATTTCATGATCATTTTCAAATATACACATGAATAGAGCCATGTATACATTTTAAAAAGAAAATAGCAAATGTTAGAAAATTCATCTTTTAAAAAAAATCAGTAATTCACATTAACAAGTTCAACAAAAATAAAAGGTAATGTAAATAAGTTTTATCTAAAGAAAGTTGGCAATAAATCAACGCAATGTGATTATGCTGATTTTCATTTGTTATCATGAGAATTTATGCTGAAAGAGGAACCAAGCCGAGCCGACGTGGCTGTGGTTAAGTGTGAACCTATGATCAGGAGGTCATGGTTTGATTCTTGGTCAGGGCACATACACAGGTTGCTGGCTCTGTCCCAAGTGGGGCCGTGCTGATCAATGACTGCTTCTCATCATTGATATTTCTCTCTCTCTCTCCCTTCTTCTCTGAAATCAATAAAAATATTTTTTTTTAAAAGAAAAGAAAGAGGAGCCAAGTTGTCTCCTAAAGGCAGGAACATCATAACATAGCAACAACAGCAGGAAGAGAAGGGCAATTCTGGTTAATAACACACAAGTAGAACCCAGATCTATGGCTTCATTAACAAAAATAATTAAAGGGCCAAATCATTTATATATAAATGTAATAAATCTAACTGGGCTGTACCTCAAAGTCTGTTTCAAAAATGGCTTTTCTGATACCAGAGCTTATTTTTTCATAATCCTATATGATAAAAGCATAATATGCAAATTCACCAAATAGCGGAATGACCAGTCACTGTGGAGCAACTGACCACTAAGAGGCAGGCGCTCAATGCAAAAGCTGCCTCCTGGTGGTCAGTGCCTTAGCTAGAAGCTGGCTCACGGCTGACAAGTGCAGCGGCAGTGGCAGGAGCCTCTCCCACCTCTGCTGCAGGTGGACATCCCCCGAGAAGTCCGGACTATAAGAGGTACAGGCTTGGCTGAGGGACAACCCCTCCACCTCAGTCAATGAATCTTGTGCACCGGGCCTCTAGTGTTATCTAATAATAGACAAAGATGTAAATTGGCCCTATATCTCTGCTACGCTATCAGCCAATCAGGAGTGATATGCAAATTAATCAAACGAAGATGGAGGTCAATTTGCAACACAGGCACCAAATGACAAATGACGGGGGTGGGGTGCTTGCATCATCACCATGGTGTTCTGCCCCACCCCTGGTCTCTCAGGGTCTCTGGGCAGCGTGGGAAGGCGGGGCTAGGCCAGAGTGAAAAGGCAGTGCCAGCAGCCAGAGAAAGGAAAGCCCATTCTAGCACGAATCTTTGTGCATCGGGCTTCTAGTTATTATACAAACTGCTGTAGTCAGGTTCCTAGGCTGGCCATACAACACTTGGTCATTACATTGGAGAATAATTACAGCATATACTACTGCCAGGGAAAGTGTAATCAGAACACCAATCTAAAATCCAACACATTTTCACTTTGGTTGCAGGCTCCTCCCTGGCCTGAGCCATGGTCAGGCTCATGTAGGAGGCAACCAATCAATGTGTTTCTTTCACATCAATGTTTCTCTCTGTCTTTCCCTCTCTATTCCACTATACCATTCTTCCTAAAAATCAATGGAAAAAATATAATAAAAAAAATCCAACATATTTTCTGAGAATGCATCTCTAGGATTTTAACTTTCAACTCCCCTTCCCAGCTGCCTCTAAGTCAGTAGTCAGCAATCTGCGGCTCACGAGCCATGGTTTGCCTCTCTGTTGACTAATGAGTTTGCCCACCACTGCTCTAAGTCATCATGGGCTTTAACAAAGCCTAAGGAAGAAGCCCTCAGCCCTGATCAGGATCCCAAGCAGGCTAACACCCCCAATTCCTTTCTTTACTCCCTTTCCTCTGGACTGGCTCTGGGAAGCCGCCCTGTGCAGAGGGACAGGTAGCTAGAGGTCCCAAGGCGGCAGGAAGGAGGACTTTCTCTTCTTCACCTCCCAACCACAGAAGACACTGCAGTGAGATATAAAGCAGAAAACAGACACAGAGGAAGATGAAGATGGAAGCATGAAAAGGGAAGAATCGGTGGGTGAATGGCTGTAATGAGAAGAGGCTGTTCCCAGAGACAACAGGTAAGAAGGAAGAGTTCTTGGTACAATTTTACAAAGAAGACCCATATACCAAGGAAATGCCAATAGCGCACCAAATGTTCTAAGTAAAAGTTGCATGAATCCTACTTTCTTACCTGTTTGCATATGCACAAATGTTATCTATTAGTGGAAGATTCTTCAAAGCTGCCTCTACTTTCCCAAGAGAAACATATTCTCCTGCCTGGAGTTTTACAAGGTCCTTTTTACGATCTGTGCAAGACAAGGCCGGGAGGGGGATATATGGCAGGATAACATTAATAACACCTTTAAGACACATAAATACTGGCCATTCTTTAAGCAGTCTGCTACCAATTAAGTTCATTATAATACTTATGCTAAAAATAAAAGTATATAATAAAACTAAGTCCTAATTTTGACATTATTATATATATTCTTTTTTTTTTTTAATTAGCTTCTAAATAAGGCCTCCCCTCATCAGGGTTTTGGTCATATCCACTGAACAGGTATGTTCCTGGTATATATTAATACCAAGGAGATAAAGAATATACTCAATGCCACCTGAACAATCACTCTACCTGGAGAGATTCATGTTGCAAAAACACCTCTCTCCAATGAGCTATGGTAGTGCTGTGTTAAGACTCTCCAACCTGCTGCTTTGGAAAATATTCCTGCCAGGGATACCTGAGCTGAGTCTTGTGGAAAGATTGAACAACAGTCAAGTGGACCAGTGCTGGCAGAGAAAAGAGATGTGCCAGCTCAAGTTACCTCAGTAGAGAAGGAAAAAACCACCGGAAGTGGAGATGAAAGTGCAGAGGTGAACCAGGCCACATAGCAGGCGAACTGAGCTTGTAGGAGCCACTAACAGGTTGTCAGCAGGAAGTGGCCCATTGGGGTCAGCATTTATATGATCACAGAAGGGGCAGCCTAACATACTACCAGGAGAAGAGAAACAGAGAGAATGCTCTTGAGGCCTATGTCAGAAGGTCAATCTTCTAGGCCTCCAGTCATGACTAGGCGAGAAATGCCAGTGACTGAGGAATAGAACCTCAGGGAGGAGCAGAGGAAGGTATCTGTCACCCCATCAAGCTGTCAGGCCTTCCTTTGATCTCACAGGTGAGGCAAGGTCATGTCCTGATAGGAGACAACATGTCCAATAACTTCTAGACATCAAAAAAGTCACAAAAAACAATGTTCCCTATCACAAATCTGTCCCTTTAAGGGTTAATTAATAAGATATCACTGCTGCTGAACAGATATTATCTGTCTCACTTTATAATTCCACACACCCCGAACTATAAACTTTTATATTCTATGGATGATGCAACAGGCCATACCAACATTTCATAAATATACATTCTTATATTATTAAGCAGTTTCTCTAAATATACCCACCATGTTCACAAAAAAGTAGGAGACACTCACCAATAATCTTTAAACAACCATCAGGATCGAACTCCCCAATGTCTCCAGTACAGAGCCACCTCTGCCCATTTTCATCTTCAAAGAAATCAGCCTTTGTTTTTGCTTCATTTTTGTAGTATCCCATTGTCACATTCGGGCCACCAATAAGAATTTCACCCCTGGGATGTGGTTTATCGGTATTAAAGTATCCACCTAATAAGCAGAATAATTTAGAGTTAATTCGGAATTTTTATCCCTCTATGCATCATGTGAAAATTTGAAACTGTTAGTTTCTAAACAGGGAAATCTGATTTCAATGCAATTAGAATTTCCCAAAGGAAATAAGGCAGATACTATGAATTAACAAAATTCATCTATGTAAAAAACTTAAGTTTTATGTACGAAACTCCAGTTGCTTAAACGTAAGTACTTACTATGCTTTTAAATTACTATTCTGAGGAGAAAATTATTCAAAAATCTAACAATTATTGTATAAAATAATTACATCACTGCACAGGTAAACTTTAAAAATTCTGTAGAGCTTCTTAAATATCATACTAATAAAAGTAGTAAATCATGCATTTAATAAGAGAATAATAAATTTCTGTATCAAATCAAATTCCTACATATTTACAAGATGTTTTCTTACAGATAATTTCAGAATATTCAAATTTAAATTTATTAAACATATTCACCAAAAAATTACATCTCAGCTTTAGAATTTTTATCTTTACTTTCTATAAAAGAAAAAAAAGCATTCAAACAAATCATAAATAATATTTACATGTTAACAGAATCAAATAAAAACTTTCAAATGGTTGGAGCATCATCCCATAACCAAAAAAAGGTTGCACATACCTAGGTTGTGGGTTCAATCCCTGGCTGGGGTACAACTAATCAATGTTTCTCTCTTTCCTCCGTCCTCTCCCAAAAATCAATTAAGAAACAAATCCTCAGGTGAGGATTTTTTAAAAAGTAATTAATATTTAAGTGCATATAACAACAGATTTTTAGGAAATTACAGTAAAAATTTCCTTCTGATAATTCTGAAGACCTCGTGGAAAAGATGACAAAAGAAAAAATATGTAAAATTTTCTTAAAAATAAAATTTTATTAATTTTTTAAAATATCTTTTATTGACCATCTACAAAGAGGAAGGGAGATGAACAGAGAGCCAGAAACATCAATGAGAGAGAGAGACATCGATCAGCTATCTCCTGCACACTCCCTACTGGGTATGTAACCGCAACCAAGGTACATGCCCTTGACCAGAATCAAACCTGGGACTCTTGAGTCTGCAGGCTGACATTCTACCCACTGAGCCAAATCAATTAGGGCTAAATTTTATTAATTTGATTCTATAAAAGTTATGATTATGCCTAACTAACTGACATATTTATTTAGAACATTTTTGCCATAATTGTTACTTGTATTTACTAATAATAAGCAAAATAAAAAATTACAATTCTTCAGAATCATCTTTGAATCAAGCAAAGTAAATGCACCCCTACAGCTGTAGATAAAATATACCTATTAATAAGGGACAAAAATTAGCATTTTGAGTATTCTAAATAAGGAAGAAAATGAAGCACAATTCTAATTTTTTAAAATACATTTTTATTTATTTCAGAGAATGGGGGAGGGAGAGATAGAAATACCAATGATGAGAATCATTGACTGGCTGCTTCCTGCACGCCCCACACTGGGAATCAAGCCCACAACCCAGGCATGTGCCCTGACCAGGAATCGAATCGTGACCTCTGGGTTCATAGGTCGACACTCAAACACTGAACTATACTGGCTGCCAGGCAGCACAATACTAATTTTAAAGTTAATACTATACACATTAATGTTTTGTGGTTAAAATATGTTATTACCTTCCTCCCAGTTCTTTAATTTGATTTCACAGCAAACTAATGGTGCTCCCACTCTGCCGGTATTGTAGTCCCACACTAAAAGACAAATGAAAAAAAGTCTTTGGTTACAGTAGTTAATAAATGGCTTCATTTTTTTAAATTACCAAAAACAATGATTTTTCTCAAAGTTTAGATATCCCCAAAGAATCCTTAAAAGCAGGTCACAAATTGGTGAACCACAGGCTTGGTGGCCCATAGAGTTTTTCTTTTGTTTTGCTTTGTTTTTTAATCTAAGTTGATTCTTGACTCTTAAAAAATCAAGACATTTTACACATAAGGATGCGATCTCTGGAACAATGGGTCCACATCCCCAGCTCATCAGTAATTACAGTCCCCAGCAGAGGGCAGGCACATAGCCTGCTCCAGGTCCCCAGCTTCCTCACCTGCCACATTTTTTTTACACCAGGGCCTGTTTCTCTCGTTAAGAAGCTGCCTGGTTCATGATTTTATAGCACCCCATCTTAGGAAGTGAAGACCTCAGAAGCCTCCCTACATAGCAGTTATGGCACCACACCCATTTAAATTCACGCAGTGAGAGTTCAAAGACCAGGCTGGAGATTAAGATGGCTAATTTTCAAGAATTTGGGAAAAGAACCTACCATTTATCAGAAATAAAATGCCAATATTTAATACTTTACAGAGTTTCATTTATAACAAACCGTACCTGATTCAACACACATTCAATGTGAATCTTAAAAAAAGAAATTAAGATTCTCAAGAAACCATATATGCATGTACTTAAGAATGCTTGTTTATTTCCCACAAAACAAAAAAATGTAAAATACAGATAATATAATTGAAAATAGGAAAATACAGGAGTAATGCAAGACAAACCTGGCATATGAAGAGTACACAGAAGTACTCAAGGTAAATAAGAAAAAATCAGTCCTAGCTGGTTAGGCTCAGTGGGTAGAGCATCGGCCTGCGAACTGGAAGGTCCCAGGTTCGAATACGTTCAAAGACACATGCCCAGGTTGTGGGCTCAATCCCCAGTGGGGGGCTTGCAGGAGGCAGCTAATTGAAGATTCTCTCTCATCATTGATGTTTCTATCTCTCTCTCCCTCTCCCTTCCTCTCTGAAATCAATAAAAAATATATTTTTTTTAAAAAAATCAGCAGTGAAGAGGTTCAATATCTATCGGTATCCAGAAAATTCAAAGCAGAAACACAGCTTTCTCTAACAGGGGAAGCAAAGTAACTTCCTCCCATAAAAGGGATACATGAGGCCCTATGGGGTTCACCTGGGAACCACCTGGGGAGCAAGAGGATCTCCTCAACCACATCATCATGGGAAGATGAAAACTATATTATCTTGACCTTTCTCTCTATACTTACACCCTACCCCTACCCCCTCACACCACCCCCCTGCAAGAAACATTTCTGAATTTGAGCCTTAATACACATACCTAAACAACTAGACAAAACACATTAATTTTCTACATTACTTAAGAACTGATGTAATAAATGTACAGAATACAGCCAATGATTTTTAATAAAACTTCTTTTCCAGAATGCTAATCCTATATAATAAAAGGCTAATATGCAAATTGTCCCCTCCAACGAGGGTTTGACCGGGGGCAAGGCCAGCTGGCAACAGCCCGCAGCCCTCCCCTCGGCCAGCTTGGCCCTCGATAGGCTCTCCTGTCGATTGGGAGTGGAGCCGACCCACCAACTGCCCCCGGCCCCTATCCCTGGCTGGCCTTGCCCCCGATCGCCCCCACCCACCCCTTTTGGGGGGCAGGGCCAGCCTGCCAACCTCCTGCGTCCCCTACCCTCAGCTGGCCTGACCCAATTGGCCAGCCAGCTGAACATCACCAATGCACAAATTTGTGCACCGGGCCTCTAGTTAGTTTATAATATTCCCTAGTTTATAATTTAGCATGAGAAACTCCTCTAGCTGAATTGCTATTAGATATACCTAATACAGTCTAAACCCTTATGTCAAGTATCATAAAACATGGGCTTTACCACTACAGTGCCAGAAACACACATACCATAAACCCTCTTCTACATATTTGTAGAAAACAACCCATATCCAAAAATGTAAGTTGGAGTACCCAGCCTCTGCTGGACACTCCACTCTGTGGTAGCACTAACCTTCTGTAATTGTTCCAGCCCCAGCAGACTCAGTGAGGCCATAGCCCTGGCCAACGGAACAGCAAAAGCAGATATTCATGAATCGCTGTGTGGTTGCAGAAAGTGGAGCGCCTCCACACAACAAAAGCTGAATATTTCCACCTAGCAAGCTCCGAACTTTCTGGAAAATAAACCTAGAAAAATTAATCAGAGAAATTACAGAATTTTAAAGCTGAATGGAATCCCCCAAATCATTTAGACTTATCTCCCAATTTTGACAGTAAGTGCCTTATCCACGGCCACATACCCAATTCAAGAGATTCTCTTAAACCCCTACTTAAATCTTAAATTTTAAAAGCTCAACTAAATAAAGAAGACATGATCTTTTCTTAAAACTTTTTCAACTAATATTTGAATTCAAAACTGCCAGGTTTAATTTTATATAATAATGGAAAACCCTTGCTAATGGACAGAGCAATTTGTTTTATATTATTCTACACTACATATTATACTAATACTGAATAATCCTATTTTATTTTTTAAATTTAGTATTAAAAGCTAATTATATTTTTTGCTTTAGCTTACTTCATTAGAAATGTCTACATATTTATATACAGCAATTTAACTTTTTTTAAAAATTCACTAAATCAAGTTCCAATAAGTTTATTTTTTTAAATATCTGGTAAATTAAAAAAAGAAAATAATTCAAATATTTAATTGAAATGTTTCTGAAAATACACTAATAAAAGATTACTTACAACCTTGGTCAAAAGAAGTGTTTATTGTTGTTGTTTTTTAAGTAACTCTGAAAAACGCAAAGACCAAGTGGCAATCATCTATACTAATAAAAGAGTAATAGGCAAATTGGTCAGGACGCCCTCATACTAATGACTGAACAGCAGGCTGCGCAGGGCAATAAGGCCGGCAGGGGGGTTAGTGAGGGATGACCAAACAACTGAATAGCAGGCTTCGTGGGGCGACCAGGCCAGCAGGGGGGCATTTGGGGGCAACCAGACGAGTAGGAGGGGCAGATGGGGGCAACCAGGCCGGCAGGGGGGACAGTGAGGGGCGACCAAGCCAGCAGGGGAGGCAGTTACGGGCAACCAACTGGCGGGGAGGGGCAGCTGGGAGGTCAGTGGGAAGAGGCTGTTGGGAGTGACCAGGCTGACGGGGGGGCAGGGAGTGGGGCATTCAGGCAGGCAGGCAGGTGAGTGGTTAGGAGCCAGCTATCCTGGATTGTGAGAGGGATGTCCGACTGCCTGTTTAGGTCCAATCCCTGGGATCAGGCCTAAACTGGCAATTGGACATTCCTTAAGGAGTCCCGGATTGGAGAGGGTGCAGGCTGCAGGCTGGGCTGAGGTGGACACCCCCGGCCCCCTGGGAAGGGAAGGGAGTTCTAATTGCCAGCCAGGCCTAGGGACCCTACCTGTGCACATACTTCATGCACCAGGCCATTAGTATCCCCATAAAAAATAATCTTAAAAATAATACTTTCATTTCTAAATTCTATATTATATAATTAAATTTTACCCTATTAGCACTACAAAACAAAAAATTAATAGATCTGTGGTAAAACTGATCATTTAACACTTTAAGCACAAAAAATTAGTCACATTGTTTTGCCATTTTATATTCATACTAAAGGCCCAGTGCCTAAAATTCATGCATGGTTGGGTTGGGGTGTCCCTCAGCCCAGCCTGCATCCTCACCAATCTTGGACCTTTTGAGGGATGTCCAACCGCCTGTTTAGGCCCGATCCCATTGGATCAGGCGGTCAGACATCCTTCTCACAATCCAGGACTACTGGCTCCCAACCGCTCACCTGCCTCTGCCTAATTGTCCCTAACCGCTTCTGCCTGCCAGCCTGATCACCACTGCTAGCCTGATCAATGCCTAACTGCACCCCGGCTGGCCTGATTGCCCCTAATTGCCCTCCCCTGCTGGCCTGGTCCCCCCTAACTACCCTCCCTGCCAGTCTAGTCACCTCTAACCCTTGTAGGCCTGGTCGCCAACTGCTCTCCCCTGGTGGCCCAGTCACCCCTGCCCTCCCCTACTGGCCTGGTCACCCCTGCCCTCCCCTGCTGGCCTGGTCACCACTGCCTTCCCCTGCAAGCCTGCCCCCCCCCCAACTACCCTTCCCTACAGGCCTAGTCCCCCCCAACTGCCCTCCCCTGCAGGCCTGCCCCCTCCCAACTGTTCTCACATGTAGGCCTGGTACACCCACAATTGACCTCCCCTGCTGGCCTGGCCCCTTCCAACTACCCTCCCTTGCAAGCCTAGTCGTCCCCCGCCCCCAGCTGCTCTCCCCTGTAGACCTGCCCGCCCCCACCCCCCCCAACTGTACTCGCATGCAGGCCTGGTACTCCCACAACTTACCTCCCCTGCTGGCCTGGTCACGCCTAACTGCCCTCCCTGCTGGCCTGATCGCCCACATCTGCCCTTTCCTGCAGGCCTGGTCCTCCCCCCAAACTGTCCTCCCCTAGAGGCGTGGTCGCCCCCAATTGCCCTCCCCTGCTGGCCTGGTCACTCCTAACTGCCCTCCCCTGCAGGCCTGGTTCCCCACAACTGCCATCCCCTGCCAGCCATCTTCTGGTGGCCATTTAGTGTCCACATGAGGGCAGCCATCTTTGAACACATGGGGGTGGCCATCTGTGTCTTGGATTGATGGTCAATTTGCATATTACTCTTTTATTAGATAGGATTGAAATAAATTTAAAAACAAAGACAAATAATTAAAATAATTCAAATCACATTGGTGTCCATATAAAATATAAGCACATTATTAAATCGAGTAAGTGGAAATTTTTGTCAAATAAAATGGCAATATTTTAATTGCTCATATTCGTATGCAAGATGGAATTTTTCAAGAGTCCCTCTTATTTTTTTAAATTATGTTTTTATTTATTTAGGAAAGGGAGAGGGAGAAAGAGATAAGAAACATTAATGATAAGGGAGAATATCATTGATCAGCTGCCTCCTACACATCTCACACTTAGGATTCAGCCCACAACAAGGGCATGTGCCCAGACCAGGAATCAAACCATGACTTCCTAGTTCATAGATCAACGCTCAACCACTGAGCCACACCAAAAGTATCCCTCTTACTTTTTAAAATAAATTTATTTCTTACCACTACTTCAATTAACAGGGTTATTGATCTGAATAAAGCAACTCAATTATCCCGAGGGAAACTTTTCCTTACCTATCACACAGGGGAGTACTTCGCCCTTTGGAAATCTGTTCCATTTTATAATTATAGGCCAGAATAAACAGATTACGTTGAAAACTACTCATTTCATTTACTTTATTCATGACATTTTTATAGATTCGATCCATGATTTCCTAGATGTATAAAAATTAATTCAGTTAATGATGTTATCGGGTGCCTTACACATATTAAAATCTTCACATTAAATTAACAGTTATGTCAATATGGAGATAATTTCAAAAGATTTATCCAATCAGGAACACATTTTTAAGATATGGCCAAAATTAGTTTAAAAATGAGATTTCTGTGAAAGTAACTTTTAATAGCAAACATTTAAGTAGATGTTCATTAGTAGTAAAAAGAGAAAAGGCATTTGGGCAGTAATATATCATTACTGATTTTTTATATTGCTTTTTTTCATCTCATTTATTCTCAACTAAAAACTGCACTCATTAAGTAAATAAACAACTAGATGAAATGATTTTAGTTATAGAATACCACATTCTTCGCTCTCAAGAGGACCTTGGGTTATTTTGGCTGGTTTTGTCTTCCAATGCTGCACCCAGGAAATTTTCCTTTTCTGCATTATATTTTGCTTGCCAGGCCTATTACTACTATGAAATATGCTTTAATGACTTTAAATAGTTTTTCCTCTACAATTTCAAATTATATTGAATTTTTACATGAACTGAAAATTTAATGCAAGATAGTACTGAGAAAATATACTTAAGAAATTCCAAAATCGCCGGTCATTTGATTTTGGAATAACTATGTAATTATACTTAGACATAAGCATTCAGATATCTGATCATAATTCCCAACACTTTTAAACAAAATCAGAAAGCCACATAAGACTTACATACGGAGAGAAAAATCATTGTGTCTCAATTTCATTAACCTTATTTTCAGGCCCCTTCCATTCAAAGTGGCACCAATTTCTCAGCCATTTTTTTTGGTGTCTAGGCCAGACTTTCCTGAGGACCCAAGAGATAATTACACTACTTGCTTAACAGGAGGTGATCTTAACTCTTCTCTCCTATCTCCTATCTCCTGCTGAGCTTCAGGTTTCTACAAATAGCAAACAAACCTCATTAAAAGAATTTGAACAAGAAGCTATCTAGAGAAAGGCACTGATATGATAATATCCATAGAGCTTCAAGTAATACAAAAAATCAATGAGGATAAACCCTACATGACCTCCTCAACCACAGTATCTTTCCCACTGGCATTTATGTCTGTACCTGGTGACACTTCTTGAGAACTCAATACTAATTAGTGGTCAGTTCTTACCGGAACGGCTGCCATCAGTGTTGGCTTCAACATGGACGTATCTCCTTTGCTTCCTTTTTTTATTTTTGAAGACTATAGAGAGAGAAAATGATCTATATGTAGTGATTCTTATTTTAAAATTCAATGAAATACTTAGATTAAAAACATATTATAAATTCATTTTAACTTACTTATAATCTAAAAAGCAAGTGCTTATTTAAAATGAATTGTCATTTTCACAATATAGTGCCAAACTGTCGGGGGAAATGTGTTAAAAATGACTGATTTTTTTGTATCTCAAGTCACAGACACTTAATTTACCTGATCTGCTAACGTTTGTGGTGAAGAGTAACCAATGCGACACCCGTGAGAAAGACAGACAAGCTCCGCACTCAATTCTAACACGTGGGCCAGAGGCAAATAGCCAATGTAAACATCTTCCTCTCTGAAAGAAAAGGGAGATGGAAGAAAAAAGTCAGGTGCGCGCTCTCTGAAAGGAACTACAGTGGGAGCAAGCTGGAGAAGGCACATGGGAAGGCCCTCAAGGCATCAATTTGACTCTACATGTGGTATTGTGTGAGAGGAGAGCCAGGGAGGCTTACTGTAATAGACATAAACTCTGGCTTCCCCCGCATTTCCTCGCTAAGACATACCCCAGGCGTGGAATCCTTTCCGCCATCCCCGTGATGCCAGCAATGATGTTGCTATGGGAGATCATGACCCCCTTGGGAAGTCCTGTGGACCCGCTTGTGTACATGATTACTGCAATATCTGAGGGTGCCGGTGCGCTCTGAGGTTTGTTTTCTGTATTGGAGAAAAACACATACACAAGACGCTTCTAAGAAATCTAGCCTAAACACTGATTTTTTTTCTTCATAATAATGTGTTTATTAACTCAATTCAACAATTATTCATTGTAATCACACGGATCAAGTCCCGGCACATAAGAAATATATAGTCTGTTGGGATAGACTAACATAAATCTATCATCTAATAAAAGCTGTGAAGAAAAATAAAGCAAGACAAGTAAAGCCATTTAGATTAAAAAAAAAAAAAAAAAAAAAGTCAGAAGAGGCCTTTCTGGGATTAATATTTTAGTAAAGACCTGAAGAAAGAGAAAGAGCTGGAACCAGTTTGGCTCAGTGGATAGAGCCATCAGCCTGCGGACTGAAAGGTCCCAGGTTCGATTCCGGTCAAGAGCATGTACCTTGGTTGTGGGCACATCCCCAGTAAGAGGTGTGCAGGAGGCAGAAGATCGATGTTTCTAACTTTTTATCCCTCTCCCTTCCTCTCTGAAAAATAAATAAAATGTATTTTAAAATGTTTTTTAAAAATAATAAAACGTTAAAAAAAAAAAAAAAGTGAGAAGGAGCCAGGAAAACCCTGAGAGTGGGAGATTGTTTCAAGTAGAAAATAAGCAGGTACAAAGGCCCCGAGATACGAATGTACTTGGCATAATAAGTACAGAGCGTGTGGTGGGGAGGAATGAGCAAGAGAAAAGTAGCAGGAAGGAAGGGGAAGCAGTAGCTGGGCCCACACCATGTAGAGCCTTCAAGGCTATGCTAGGACTTAGGATTTCACTTGGGGGGAAAGCAATGTTGCTTTGTCATCATCCTGGACAAGGATCGCTTTAGCTGCTATGTGGCTAACTTTAAGAAAGGCAAGGAAAGAGGTAGGAACATAAAAGGCTATTCCATATATGCAACTAAAAATTAGGGTTGGGTGAACAAGGAACAGGGAGCTGCGACATACCCGTGCTCGTCTTGGCTCCCAGAGCCTGCACTGCAGCCATGGTGTGCACGATGACGCCCTTGGGGAACTCGGACCAGGTAGGCGGCTTACCATCGACAGTGATGATGTGCCGCAGGCGTGGAGCTAAAGAAACTATATCCTGGAAACACACAAGTATTCACCGTGTTCATTATTCTTCATGAAGGAGCTTAGCAAGTGGTCCAGATCACAAGGAAAGCAGATTACCATATTCAATGAATTATTAACTTCTTGCCTCAAAATACAGGGGGGTAGTAGTAATACCCTTTATCAGGTGGAGAAATATTGGTCTGAAATTTAAATCACTATTCTTGAGCACCAGATTTACTGGTATCTCTGCTCTTTGATAAAACCTTGATCAACAAAGTTACTTCCTCACAAACCAGGCTTGTAAACACAGGCAGCCTAAGCTGCAGGGAAGCCAATCCCCTTATGTAATAAGAGGCTAACAGATGCAGAGGAAGGGGAAAGAATGGCACTCACTTATAAACTTATGTATTTTTTAAATCAGAAATTATTTTTTAATGGGGAGTTATCTAAAAATTAAACAAACCCATTTTTCCTGTACTTTTCATAAAGTCTCTCTTTTCCCTTTAAAAAAAATCTCAAGACTCATAATAACTCAATGCTTCAGAAATAAAATTATGTTTAAAAATAGTCCTTCAAAATTAAAATTTAATTAAAAATAACCTAGAAAATAGATGAGCACAATAAAGAAAAGGTTTATAAACTCCACCTTAGATATGGGAATATTAATAATTTTTTAATTCTCTTGCACTAGTTGTAAGTATATATGAAATCCACTTGTTCTTTACTAAAGGAATAAAATTATATTCCTATAAGTTTATAAAGATGATAAGGATTTTAAAGATCATAAAAGAAGTAAACATCAACAATAGAGCTCAGGACACTGAAAATTCAAAAGTATCAGGCAGATATTAAAACAACTCCAGTCCTCACCTTCAACTTTGTTTGCAAGAGTTCTTTACTAGTAATGATGTTGGTCACCTCTGTTTCATTTAGTCCATGAACAATTGCCGGACCTCCTAGTGTCGCATACAACGTAACAACTACAGGGAAAAGAAGGGCAAGTCAATACGTGAACATTTCAAGGGTATACTAAACGTAGGTAAAGCCTTTGAAAGTGTACAGAAATTAGAAGGGAGCATACTGAACCCTCCATTATTAGGTCCATAGTTTATGATCTACCTGTACTGTTTTCCAAAATTCTTTTTTTTTAATTTTTTAAAATATATTTTATTGATTTTTTACAGAAAGGAAGGGAGAGAGATAGAGAGCTAGAAACGTCGATGAGAGAGAAACATCGACCAGCTGCCTCTTGCACATCCCCTACCGGGGATGTGTCCACAACCACTGTACATGCCCTTGACCGGAATCGAACCTGGGACCTTTCAGTCCGCAGACCGACGCTCTACCACTGAGCCAAACCGGCTTCGGCTGTTTTCCAAAATTCTTAATATGCTAATTAACATTATGCCTACTTAGCCTATCCTAATTTCCCCCAAAGTTTTCAATATTTTAAAATTTAAGACTATTTACTTTTATTTTGTTTCACCTATAGATGTTACTATGGGACTGTCATATTGGGAAGTAATCATATCTGACTTCTAAAATGTCAAATCTCAGATGTTAACCACTTGGTACTAAAATATGAAAAAAATATATATACCAATTAAGATTACACACTGTCAGATTTAAGTTATTACATGTTACAGTAATAGCATGAACAAGTGTCAGTACTGCTTATCCCAAAGCAGAAAAATCTAAAGAAAAACATTCTTTAAAATATTGAAATTAAATAATATGGTGGATTTTTCATTACTTTCTGCTTACCCGTATTTTCCGGTGTATAAGACGACCTTTGAAACGAAAAAAGTCAACCGAAAATCGGGGGCAAAAGACCAAAATTGCACAAAAATTACCTGCAGATCTTGACTGCAAAGTAAGTCTTTTCTTTGAAGTGGGGGGTAGTCTTATACAGCGAATATAGGCCTAAACCTAGGTTTTAACTGTAAAATTAGGGGGTCGTCTTATACGCCGGAAAATACGGTAACTCAATAGAGTAAGATTTAATGTGACTTCAAGAAATGATTATTTTCAAGCTTCTCAAAAGAAACACTTTATAAACCTAAACCTGTGAAAATAAAAAGGTGTAACAATTTAAAAGGAAAAAAATAGTGAAGGCCTTTATAGTAAGAAATCTAGTAAAAGTACCTTTTCTGTTTTATCTAGAACAGGGGGGTGAGGAATCTTTTTCCTGCCAGGGGCCATTTGGATAGTTTTAACATCATTCTCAGGGCCATACAAAATTATCAACTTAAAAATTAGTCTGCTATATTTGTTTAGCCATTTATTCATTTTTTTTATAATAAATATGGAACGCTTCACGAATTTGCGTGTCATCCTTGCGCAGGGGCCATGCTAATCTTCTCTGTATCGTTCCAATTTTAGTATATGTGCTGCCGAAGCGAGGCACTTGTTTAGCCATTTAATTAACTCACCCCTAATACCTTGGCAGGACCAGACCAAATGATTTCTCAGGCCTGATATGGCCAATAGGCCAGACATTCCCCATTCCTGATCTAAAAAATAAGATGATGTCCATACTTAATATCACATTTTGGCACCAAGAACTCGCAATTAAGCTTCCAAGACTACCTCACAGACTGAGGCATCATGAATACTACTCAAATAAACACAATATAACAATGATCTATTGTTTAGCCTAGAACCTGGATTTGAGTATAGTAAGAAAAGGGAAACTGCTACCTCTGATAGAAGTGGCCTAACAAAATGATGCCCCCTTCAAAGGGGAAATCTTGAGATGACAGCAGTGTATAGAGATGGCTCATTATACCCAGACAGTCCCCTATTAGTAGATTCAAGTCCACTTACTATAGTGACTGCACCAATTATTCCACAACTAGTTCCTTTTCCCAAAAACAAAACAGTAATTTTAATAACAAATTCTCCACCGACTGAATGCAAGGTGAAAAATAACATCAAAATTTTACTTGTAAGAGTGAAATATTTATAATAAAAGTCAGTATATCTCTCCCACAACAATGTAGGTCCACTCTTCCAGAAGACAAGGGAAAAAAAGCCCACGTACGCTGAAAGTTATACATAAAGCACGCCTGTGCAGCAATCATCCACTCGGCCCTGGTTTCACAGAAGATAGCAATGTTGGTCTTTGGTTTCTGACCCAACACCTGTAAGCCATTTCCAAAATTCAAAGCTCTAACGTAGACATCTTCATAGGAGAGCCAATTATAGTGTCCAAGAATAACCTGGTAAAACAAACAAAAACCATACAAATAGCTTTCAATATAACCAAACATTAGTTTCTAGAAAGCCAGGATGTGTTCCAAATTTTGACAAGTCAGAAAGTTATGCTTGCATGTAATTAAGCTATTTTTTAACAAAAAGTTTCAAGTGAAAAATCTGTTTTGAAAATTAGCTATTTTGTGATATCTTCTATAACAATTCAAATTTTATGCTAAATCTTTAACTATTTTTTTTGTGGGGAGGTGGTGTTGTTGTTTTCAAAAATATTCAGGGTTTGACAGTATCTTAAACTCACATTTGTGGCTCAAGGGTCATATACTAATAATTCACTTATAGATTTTATTTACTTAAAGGATTTGGCTAATAATTTAAAATTTAGCTTAGTATAAAACATTACTGACACCAAAATTTTACTTTCTCTTTACTTATAAATTCCTGGATTCAATATCAGATGGTAAAATACAATACACAAAAAGAAAACTGGCCAGACCCAGGCTAAGAAAAATGTTTATGATGGTTCAATTTGAATGGCTGTATCTGACACTGGATAAGTGAAGTGAACAGGTTTGGACAGAATGCTCACTGGCACTGCCAGACATTCAATATTTCATCTGTGCTTTCCAGAAGTTCAGGTAACATTGAGCCTACATTAGTTACAATCTCCTTTTAAATCTAGTTTTTATCTTTAGGTTAGATCACACTATAAATCCCCAACTACATGCAAACTGATTTAAATTAAAAGCTCTTTTCACTGCAAAAAATATAGTTCTCAAATATGGCTTTGTCATCAATATGTCACACACCTGAAAACCATCAAACCATATTCATTTTCAAAAATGCATACATTTAAAGAGATTTTCAGAAATAAGATGGAGATAAAAATTGAAAAAGGATAAATGCTGCCCTCTAGTGTCCTATTCCATAATAAACTTAAATAGTTATTTTGATGGATAACACACTGTGTTTAAAATACTTATGTAATGTTAGTGGTCCCAAACTCTCACCTTGCTCTTCACCCCCACAACATGTGCAGCATGGGGAGCTCCAAAACTTCAAAAGGAGCTCTGTGGGGGTGAGAAGACAGATGAGAATTGGGCCAAAACATGCAGGAACTGGGTTGCAATTAAGAATTTTACACTCTATAAAGATAAGCATGAGCTACCTCCTAGCTACTCCCAGATTCAAGAATCTAAATGTCTAGTGTTTAAGTGTCAGAGAATATATGTATTCCAAAAAGGCATTCTGTATAATAAAAGCCTAATATGCTAAGTGTAGAATTATCCCTTCAACCAAGCAAAGCATAATATGCTAATGATATGCTAAGGCCGCTCAACCGCACGCTATGACGTGCACTGACCACCAGGGGGCAGACAGTCAATGGGTAGAGGAGTTGCTCTGATCAACAAGGAGCAGACACTCCAACTGGTAGGTTAGTTTGCTGCTGGGGTCCAGCCAATCGGGACTGAGCGAGATGGGCCAGACATGCCCTGGAGCCATCCCAAGGTCCCTCCCCAGCTGGCTAACCTCCTTCATCCCTCCCTAGCCCCATTCATGCACTGATGGGGTCCCTCAACCTGGCCTATGCCCTCTCTCAATCCAGGACCCTGCAGGGGGTGTCAGAGAGCCAGTTTCAGCCAATCCCGCATGCCAGGCTGAGGAATTCATGCACTGGGCCTCTAGTCACATATATAGTCCAAATAAGAAAAGCCATATGATGGTGCCACCTTGTGGCAAAGAAATCAAATCATGAGTTTAATGCAAGTATAACAAAATCTGACTTTCATTTAATTCTTTAAAACACTGAATCTTCCAGTAATCACCTTTCCCATAAATGTTACATTTAGAGGACCTCATAATTTTACCTGACTTGTGCTGGAACAGTTTCTAACTCTAATTTTGTCCCTATGGTGAGCCCAGCCTGACATTAAATTTATTTATTCCTTGCCTATACTTCTGACAACTGCTAATCCAGAATCATAGATCTCACCACTTCCCTAGCATCTTCATTTTCTCATCCTCTGCCACCCCTCTCCACTTCCAGGTGATGATACTTCACTGAGAAATTAGAAATTAAACAGAAATTCCCTTAACTACCTACCACAAGTTCAATAACCTTCACCCATCTGTCCCTCAGGTGTTACAATGGCTGAAGTGTCCCTGACAAAAGCCAAACTCACAAGGACTGTGCTTCGAAGAGCTTCCCAAATTTCTTCGTCCATTCCTGACCACCCCTAGTCCATCTCTCCCCGAATTAATGAATCCCAACTAGGCAACCCGCTTTCATTCTTATTCCTCTACAACCCATTCTCACTACAGTCATTAGTGTTATTGTTTTTTAAATATATAAATCAGCTTATTGCTCTGTTTAGCCCTCCACAGAGTTTCCCCTATCTGGTAGGAATGTAGTCCAAAACCTCGCCTGGTCTAAAGGCCCTAAGGGACCTAGCAGTGCAGGCTTCCCTGTGCTCATTTCCAGCCCTCCTCCCTGACTCCCTTCCTGTAAATACAACTTTGTTCTTTCTGTCCTTCAAACTAGCTGGGCCAGGGCGGGAACTAGGATAAGGCAAGGCGCCTGGGGCACAGAATTCAAGGAGCACACACTCCCTGGGTCTGTCCCTCTTCTCTGTAAATTTAAGGGGAAGATTAAGATTATCCATATAGTAACTTCCCTCACTCACATTTTTTTTAATATATATTTTATTGATTTTTGTACAGAGAGGAAGGGAGAGAGATAGAGAGCCAGAAACATCGATGAGAGAGAGTCATCGATCAGCTGCCTCTTGCACACCCCCTACCGGAGACATGCCCGCAACCAAGGTACATGCCCTTGACCGGAATCGAACCCGGGACCCTTCAGTCCCCAAGCCGATGCTCTATCCATTGAGCCAAACCGGTCCCGGCCCTCACTCACATTTAATTGGCTGGATTTTTATTCCATGACAGGTATGATATACACAGTGTAAATATCAATGTTATCATTCACACTAGCACTGCCTGGAACTTATTTACTTTGTTCAGGAACATATGAGGTTAGATGTTTGATAATGCTAATGAGTTTCCCTTATCTCAAAAGAAAACAATAAAAATAAATGAAGATAACATACAGAACATTCTATAAAAGCACATATATAACCATTCAGGACTTTGAAATAACCATTCAGGACCTTGAAGAATGAGACAGTCTATTAAGATCAAGTTCTGGGTCACTGAGAGCCTAACCCCTATAGTCACCAGGACTTTTTTTTTTTTTTTACTATAACCATTTAGAAGAGAAATGTTTCAAAATTATGTACTTTCCTGCCTCTTTAGCAAAGTACAGCTGGCTTCATTTAACCTTTCTCTCTGCAAATAAAGATCATTATAAACAAACTAGAGGCCTGCTACACGAATTCATGCACATTAAAAGAAAGGTAATTAGAAGAAATATTTTAATATCGCTATTCACCCTTTCTCTGTAATAGAAGTGTCAAATTCTCAAATGACAATGACAGATCAAAACACACATGCGATTGGCACCAGCAAGAGCTTTATATGTATATCGCACATGCACTAGTCAACTTAGCCTTTTATATATATAAAATAAACTTGCTTAATTAGACCTGCTTTTTAATTTAGTTCAACTTTTTCCAGCCCAATGAAGCACCCCAATTTCTCTTTCAGGTGATTGTCAGGAACACAGCAGTAACATGAAGCAAATTATTATTGTAGATTGCACAGGAAGAACAAAGGGTAAAATATTTAACTGCAGCAGTATTTGACTATATTCTGTGCAGTGAGAAAATCTGAAATCATTTCTTACTTTTCAGTCAGGTCCAGTTTCTAAACTTTTTAAATCTCCATTTTCCAGCTAATGAAAATAGGATTCCACAGAGTCTCCTATCTACCTACTCCAGGGCTTCTGTGAGGACCAAATGTGATGAGGCACTGGAAAATGCTTCATAGACATTTGGTTAAAGTGTAAAATGTTTGCACCTGGCTGTGAAGCAAGTCATGTTTCTGGGCTGAATTGGCTTACTCAACTCTTACAGTAACGCTAGACATAGTTACTATTATAATTGCTCTTTTACATAGCAGAGGATTGAGGCACAGAGATAATATAAATCTCAAAATCACACAGCTATTAGTAACAGGATGAGAATCTGATCCAGGCAGCCTCTCCCAGGACCCAAGTACTAAATCACACTGCTTTGTCTGCACTAGAGAAGAGAACTGGGATGTGACTGGGTAGAGGAAAAGTGAGCTGCTCACAGAAGACTGCCTCAGCAGCTGTGTGAGTGGATCAAAATAGGGATAAGAATAATTTATTTTTGTTTTCTTTTGAGATAAGAGTCTCATTATTAGCATTATCAAATATCTAATCTCATATGTTCCTGAACTTAAGCACTAGCCCAGTTTTAAAGAGAGGGGAGGAATATAAAGGGGGAGGATCATACTTCTGCTTTTTCCCCTGGAGCCATTTGGTTTGGGTGGTACTTTTAACAAAGGGGCTGATAGAGGGGAACAAGTATGAAACAATGAACTAAGAGTTCTGGTCTAGGAGAGTAATGTACTAGTAATAACCAAACCAGAAACCCTGGCCACTGCATAGATTAATTACAATGTTAATGTCCTATAACTCAGAAAATGAGTATCATGCACTATGTAAACAAGGTAAAAAATGTGACTGCAGCAAGAAATGAGACAAAAGTAGGCATTGAGGATGAGGAAAAGAAAGCAAAGTCAACCCCCAAAAACAAAAATAAGGACTTCTATTATCTTTTTGGGTAAATTAGAGGGGATGTCATAGTGAAATCTCTCTGTAAGCACACTGATTATATAATTCTTATTTTCTTCTCTCTAATGTGTATAAAATACAAGAAAAAAATGAAGTGGTGGTGGTGGTTAGATTACCATGTCTGAACCAGCCTTGTGCTCTATTCTGTTATTCTTTGTGACTTTGTTCTATTTCAGGTACACATACATTAGAGATGTTCTGGAGATCTAACAGTTTCACTGTTCATTTCAAAAGATGCTGGAACAAAGTACTTGGTGCTAGGGAATCTGCACTCAGGAGATGCTGACACATCCCAGATGTTTAGCTGTGTGACAGTCTCATAAAACCGTATGACATTTAAAATGTAAGACAACAGTCCTGAAAGAGTTGCCAAGCCTCTGCTTCTTTGCTTCTGTCTTTCTACTTGTGCCCCTAGAAAGAGGCCTGTCTTGATGACGTTGATGCCCACCTCATTGTAGGCAAAGTTAGAGCAGAATCATCACACTGCCTATGTTCTTCCCTTACCTCTCCACTTGTAGCTCAAATACTTTAAGGATAAGATGGAAACAAAGCTTCTGATCGTTGATTGGAAATAAAGGTTTGAGTATCTTTGCCTCAAACATATCAGATATACTCTAGGATTAATTCCCAAAGCTCAACCCCTCAAAACGGAGAGGAAACATTTAGATATTGCTACCTCATTAGCTACCTTCTCCTAATTAAAGATTGTCTTCAAATATGGAAACTATGAAATGAAGACACACTTCCTCAAAAGATACATCTGCACTCCCTGCTGGCAAATGCCCCGCGTAGAAGCCACATGGCCTGCACAACCCCACTCTTACATCAGCTGCAAACGGTCCCCTTTTCACTGTTCCTGCTGCAATACAATGGGTGCATATGAGACCAAGAGGGAGAAAAAAGCCTACCTTGTTTAACGTGCAGTGGGAACACCCACTGTCCAGTCTGCAGACCTGCCCACAGCTGCCACTCAGACCGACAGAAAGCAGCCTTAGCACAGCACCCTTTCCCACTGAGGAAGGCTAACAGAAAATATCTGCCTCATCTATTATCCACAAAACCTAAATATTAATTCACTTTCTAATGAGCCTAATCTCAAACAAGAAAATATAATAGGATTTCTGTACCAGAATTTATTTCAAGACTTCTGAAAAAGTTTGATGAATCGCAAATAAAGCAAGACAGCCTGGGTTCAATTCTAGCTTCCCCCCTTGCTAGCTGTAATGTCTGTGGGTAGGTTACTCAATCTATCTGTGTATCCCTGTTGTCATCTAAAGAAAGTCTGATAACACTAACTCATAGAGCTATTGCAAGTTTCACCTAGATTGATATATGGAAAGCTCTTACAACAGCCTTGCTTCAAAGAAATGCTAATAAATACCAGCCATGATCATTATCTCCATATTACAAATAAAGAAACTGAGGCAAATTTGCTAAATAACTCTTCCGAAGTCATATACCTAGCTAGTAAGTAAAAAAGCTGAGGTTTAAACCTGTACTCTGGATCTAGAGTCCAGATTCTTAACCCCTATGTTATACTGCCTCTAGGATGTCTTATCCCCTGCTTCAAATCAATAATGGCAGGTTCTTCTGTATTTGTGAAAAGAAATTCTTAAAATCCATGCAACTAACACAACCCAAAGACAAGATATGATGTGTCCAATGGAAGCTACATTCAAATCACAGTCAGCAGGTGCCACCCTAAAACTTAGAGCAGTGTTTCCCAAAGTGTGGTACGCATACCACCAGGGGTACGGAAAGAGTTGGTGGGGGTACGCGTTGCACCAGAGTTTGGTGGGGATATACACTGCACCGTGCTTAGCTGCGCCTAATATATCCATTTTTTTTTTCTTTTGACGAGGGGTACTCAGCATTACGAAAATTATAAAAGGGGTTACACATATGTCAAAAGTTTGGGAAACACTGACTTAGAGCAATCTCAAGCACACAGAGATGCTTCTGGAACTGCCAGGAGTTTGGGGTTTCATACCCAAAACTGCCCTAGACATTTTATCCCAAACCTTGGTAGACAAGTGCCCCACACCAGCAAGAGTTCTTAATGCCTTTATGAAAATTCAGGACAAATTGGTGCTGGCCATTACAAAGAGGTTAGAATAGTCTAGCCCCCTTCCTACCCTATCTCTCCTGCCATGTCAGCAAACTGCAATAGAAGTAGGCAAGCTTGTCCCTTGCCACCACTTCTAAAAGTTCATCTTGTGTATAGAAAATCAAAGGCAACAAAAGATCACCTTACCTTTTTAAAAACTTTTCCATTTGGTTGTATTTCATCCTCCTCATTTAAAACTTCACGTGTTCCCAAGAGTCTTTTGTCCTTAAATTTGTTTTTGGCATACATAAAAATTTTATCTAGTGTATCACAGCCAGGGTATAATACTGAGGCCAAGCCATCCATACTGTTAACAGATCTGTATGCAGAATCGGGTTTTGAATTTACAGGCTTTGCTTTAATTTGTTTTGATTTTTCTTGTCTTAACTCAGACAAAAAATAATATGGAATGTATGTTAAAATAGTATAAAGTGATATGATAAAATGTATTAAACATAAAAGAATGGGGTGGATGGTCTGTTTTAGTTTCATGGTTGATGGCTTTGAAGATTCGTGGTTATTCATAAGTGCTCAAAATGTAGAAGTAACAGATTTCCATAAGAATCTAGAAGGAAGAGAGAAAAAAAAATAGTTCAAAATCATTTTAAATAACTTTAAAGAAAAATTCTTATTAGATAGACAAGTGAAGATTTTTCCCCCCCATCAAGCAGCAGCTAGTGCACTGGCCGCAGTCAAGTCCTACCCATGTTTGATATCTGTGAGCCTCATCTGTATTGTATCTACTAACAATGGAGTTACCACAGAAAAGTCTTCACACCATCCTGAAGAAAGACAGCTTTTCCAAACTAACCCAAGTATCCACAAACATTTCCCAGTGGCCAGGAGGGAGCAAACCAGAAGACCTACAAATGAATTGGAGACCAACACTGAACCCATTTCCTGTCATTACATTGAGGATGGCAGCACTTTGCATATTCCTCATAACCTCCTCTCCTGGCCCAAAGGAACTCCTGTTAGTCTCTGCTCCCACTCTCTCACTCTAGACAGCAAAAAGCAATTGGAGTTAGCAAATATGAAATTCACTTCCCAAAAGAGGTTGGTTCTAGATACTTTCCAATTTAGACAGTTTAAAATGTGAAGCAAGAAGGCAATAAACTTTGGTCATTTTATACACTGCATTCATCAGATTTATTGAGATACTACTCTAAGTACAAGGAATGCAACAGTGAACAAAAGTCTTAGCCCCTTTCCTCATGAATCCTACATAGTCATTAGGAGAGGTAATAAATACACTATGTAGCACCCAGAATCGGCTGTGTCCTTTGCGGAGCAACAGGATGCACACTATAGAAAAGATCAACTTCTCTGAAATAGGCCAGCCAAGTTATTAAACAAATAAACAAGCAAACTCCACCACAAGAAGCTGTAGAAAAGGGGAGGGAATCAGAATTCAAAATTGCTATAAAGCTTGTAAAATAGCCAGTTTAAGTCAAAGTTAAGGCATGCAAATAAAGAAAGTGTGATCCATATACACATACGGGGAAAGCAGGCAACAAATCATTCTTCAGAGGGCCCAAATGTCTGATTTTTGCAGACAAAACATTAGGACAGCTATTATAATAAATATGTTCAAAGAACAAAAGGACATGATGCTTAAAAAATTAAGTATAACTCTGCAGTTTTACAAGACAAGGACACCTCCAAATCTGCCCACGCATAGCTGGTAAGAAGCCAAGACTCCCAACTGACCAAAGCTCTGCCCACCACGCGGAGCTGTTCCCTGACAATGTAGTGAGCAGCACTTTGGAGAATGAGTCCAGAGAACCGGGGGTTTTACCAGGGGCATGGGAAACCACTGAAGGTTTCTGTAAAGGAAAATGGCACAATGAAAACAAAGGTCCTGCCACTTCCTGGCATCAGAGCTGCAAGAACAGATGCACTTTAGGAATCCAGGAGAATGATATTATCTCATGAAATTTAATTTTGTATGTTTGCATTTTGAATTATAAAATAATCTTGTGATAAAAAAAATTTATCTACAGATTACATAATTACAACGTATAGAAAATTCTATAGGACTTCTGGTCAAGATGGCAATGAACTAATGAATTACTTCAGGGTAAAAAACACTTATGTCTGTAATTTTATATCACAACATTTCAGTTAAAAAATGTAAATCAAACATGGCAAAATATTAATACTTATTTAACTTAAGTGGCAATTATATAAAAACTCAATATATTATTCTCTCTACTTTCCTGTATGGTTTCCTTTAAAATAAAAAAGGTTTTAAAATACCCCTCCCCCAAAAAAAGAAAATCCTAAGTAACGCACTAAAAAACTAATAAACAAAGAGTTCAGTAAATGTTGCAAGATATGAGTATACAAAAATCAATTGTATTTCTGTGCACTAGCAATGAACATTCAGAATATGAAGTTAAGAGAAGAATTACATTTACAATATTTAGGATTAGATATAACAAAAAGCACAAGATTTGTGCTGTGAAAACCACAAAAATTGTTTAAAGATACTAAAGATGTAAATAAATAGAAAAGCATCCTGTTTAAGGATTGTAAGACAATATTGTTTAAATGGCTACATTCCTCAAATGTTGTAGATTCAACACAATCGTTATCAAAATCTTCGCAAGCCTTTATACAGGAATCTGTAAACTAATCCAGAAATTCACACGGAAATTCAAAATAGCCTGAACAGCCAAAATTTAATCTTGAAAAAGAACAAAGCAGCCGGGACCGGTTTGGCTCAATGGATAGCGTCGGCTTGGGGACTGAAGGGTCCCGGGTTCGATTCCGGTCAAGGGCATGTACCTTGGTTGCGGGCACATCTCCAGTAGGGGGTGTGCAAGAGGCAGCTGATCGATGACTCTCTCTCATCGATGTTTCTAACTCTCTATCTCCCTTCCTCTCTGTACAAAATAAATAAAATATATTTAAAAAAAAAAAAAAAAAGAACAAAGCAGAATTCAAAACTTACTATAAAGCAGTAATAATCAAGGCAGTCTGGCACCAGCAAAAGAACAGACAATATAGGTCAATGGAATAGAACTGAGGATCCAAAATAAACCCTTATATCATGAACAATTGATTTGCAACAACATGACAAGATAATTCAATAGTGAAAGAACAGTCTTTTCAACAGATGGTGCTGAAACAACTGAATAGCTGGATATAAAACAACAAAGATAGACTCCTATCTTATACTATACAGAAAATTAACAAAATAGATTATATACGACCTATAACTATAACACTAAGTACTGATCACTAACTACTAAATGTAAACACCTCAGGAAGAGTATAGTAAAAGGTAGAAGCTAGTTCTGAAATTTTCTGGGTCTTCTTAAACCAAATAGCAACTTATGATCTTAAAGGCTGAGAGAAAGGAAGAGAGAAAATGGAGATTTTGAAGAGATAACACTACAAAATTTGGAAAAGCACCAAAAGTAGGAGGTGCTCAAAAAACAATCAGCCACTCCAGTAGAGAAGGGTGGGGATGAGGAGGAAATGAGAGCAGGTGTTTAAGGCCCTCATTTGTCAAGTTCAAATTGTATGGCCTCTGAGGCTGGGGAAGAAACTTAGTTTGTATTCCAGTGTACACAAATGCACAGTTTAGAAAGTAAGTTTATACAGGGGATAGCTAACCTGAAGGTAGCAGAAACTGGAGGCAAGGAAATTAGATTTTAAAATAGCTGAGATAATCCTTTCTTCCTAGACCAGGAGGCTAGGGTGGTGTGACGTGGAGCCAGCAGCTGCGATCGATGCCCGCTGCCTGATGTCCCAGAAGATGGTAATGGTGGCAGCTGTTCCTCCAGCCCTTCCCAACAACTGAAATCTTTCTGCTTAATATAGTGAAGATCTTCTGTTCTGAACGAAACAGTCACAAATTAAACAGCAGCAGTGAAAGACTGGAAAATCTGATCATCTTTTCCTTCACGTTCCCAATCCAGTTAAGAAGGCCTCCTCCATCCCAGGCTAAACGTATGGTAACCTATATTTTTCATAGTATTTGCAAAATTTTTACATTTAGATATTCAATCAATATAGTTTACTTATCTAAATTGGGTAAGGGAGAAAGCTAACCTTTTCTTTCAGATGAACTGCCTAAAGCCATTTATTCAATAAGCTACCCTTTTCTCAATTAGCCAAAATGTCACCTTCAGTAAATTCCCACTTACATTTGAATCCGTTTCTGGACACTATTCCATTTCTTGGATCTATTTGTCAACTGTTTTGCTAATACCGTGTTTCCCCGAAAATAAGACCTACTTACAGGTTTCCTTCTGAGTGAAATATAAGGCATCCCCCCGAAAATAAGGCCCCCCCTAGGAATCACAAGAAATTCACCAGGAAATTCAGGAATTGGATTGTTATGATGATGTTCCAGAAGATGACGACATGATTGTCATTGAATAAATGAGTAAATTCTTGATACTGTAGGATTCACAGTTTGTCTGGTTTGTGTTGACAACTACTGTACTACCGTACCGTATACAGGTAATAAATTTCCTTTATTTTCATTTAACAATAAATGTGTTTACCGTATTCTTCTTCATGGAAAAATAAGACATCCCCTGAAAATAAGACCTAGCGCATCTTTGGGAGCAAAAATTAATATAAGACACTGTCTTATTTTCGGGGAAACAGGGTAGTTATCATAATAGCTGGATGGGTACAAAGTTCTGTTTCACGCAGTTTCAAAGCCGACAGGTACTTGTTTTATTTAAATGCTTTATATGATCTAATAAAGGTACTATTAGTTGCAACACTGGTTTAACTACATATAAAAAAATGTTCAATAAACTTGCTCCTTTTAGAACTCTGGCAGTAAGTTCTGGGTCTGCTGCTGTCCCACCTCCACTTACTCATCATATAATATGGAACAAAGTCCCTGAACACCCCAGCTTCAGGGTCACTGTAAAACTGGGTTATAATAAACACCAAATAAAACTCCCTTAGGAGCAAACAAGGAAAGCAGGTGAAAGCACTCTACTTAAACTATAATATACAATGTATGTTTTAATAGTACTTAAAATTTTGTTCATACAAAACTATGCATACTATTATTTTTCTTTTCTCTTACTTCTTACACCCGGCCAATAAATACCAACGTCAATTCAACTATACTCTTACTGAGAGGTCAGGGTCTAAAGACAAACAGACTGGTTATCTGTTCAAATCAAGGGAAATTATGAGAAAGTTACCTGTGTCACTTTGCCATAACCCCTTATTCCCATGTCAAAAGCTACTGGAGAAGTACATGGACTATGTTAAGAAAAGATAGGCAAATGCAGTCCTCTGTCTAGGGAAGGAAAAAGTCACAAAAGGTTGACCATGATGAATTGACTGGATCCATATATTTCTGGCCAAGGAATCAAGGAGAGGGAACTATAGGCAGTAGTATCTCTAAAAAGACAAGAGATATTCAAGAACAGAGCAATTCAAGACAACCCTAAGTACTATAATAGAGTGATAAATGACCCCAAAGGACCTAGAAATGTTGTTTTTTGGGGGTAAAAGGTCTTTGAAGGTGTGATTAAATTAAG